TACAGATGGTGGTCCGCCCAGGTCTAGCTGGTGTTTCTAGACAGATAAGTATGCCTACGGGTGATGTATACCCCGGGGTTGCTCTAAATCTACTATAAACAATAAAGAAAAAGAAGTTAACACAAGCAATAATACTACACAAACATCAAATGCTCAGTCCTGCTGTTCACAAGTTCCAAAAGTGGAACACAAAGCTAGATTTACTAGCTAACAAATCAGATTAAAACATTGTCAAATGTTCCAAACATAATCTCAATAGAGAAGAATAAAGTTATCTAAAAGTCACAAAGATACCCACTGAGGGATACCAACCACACCAACAGCAGGAGAAGAGAGCAGAGACTGAGCAGAGAGCGAACTGATTCAAAACTAGGCTTTTTAAAGAGCCCAGCCAGCTGCAGCCACTGACGAGCGGGAGGAGTTCCAAGATCCAATCAGCCGTTGAACCACCAATCAGCTGCCGGAACTGTTACAGAAGCCATCTTACCTGTTAAAAGAAATGCAAACACACAAACCACAAGCAATGCCAGAAAAGAATCACTATAATACGTACCCAGTGCTCTGGGGACGTAACATACCTGAATATCACTTTCTTCTCTAATTATAATTGTGAGATCATCAGCATGCAGATAATTTAATAGAGTAATTCATGGTATTAACCTGTAAACCCATTAGTTCCCTTCTCTGTTTACATAGCAATGGTTCAATTACGATACTATACAATTGTCCTGAAATTGGGCAACCCTGTCTAATACCTCTTCTTACATCTATAGGGATACTTAACCCACCACCCATTTTAATCATGCATGTTGCTTTGCTATAAAGAAGTTTGATCATTGAAATAAAACTTTTTCCAAAACCAAAAGCATTGAGGGCATCAAACAAAAAAACATAATCAACCCTATCAAAAGCCTTCTCTTGATCTAAAGACAAAAGGCCCAAATTAAGATCGTTACAATTTGCATAATCAAAAACATCCCTAATTAAATGAAGATTATCTGTAATTAACTGATTTTTAACACAATATGACTGATCTTTATGTACAATATCCTGCAAAACTTTATTTAATCTATTTGCTAAAACCTTCGAAAATATTTTATAATCTGTGCACAATATTGCAACAGGTCTCCAATTCTTTAGGAGTGTTAAATCACCCTTTTTCGGGAGCAAAGGAATTCCTTCATGACAACATTTCTGAAACACTTTTAAAAAGTCCTGACCTACAATTTGGCCAAAAAGTCTTGTAAAACTCAGCTGGTAGTCCATCCATTCCCGGACAATGGCCTGAAGATAGACCCATCACAGCTCGAGAGACTTCCTCAAAAGAGACATCATTCTCTAATGAGTTTTTTTTTCTTCAGATAAAACAGGTAAATCTCTTAACAGCTCAGTCCTAGAATGTTTATCTTATGCCTCGTTTCCACTGAGTGGTACGGTACGGTTCAGTACGGTACGGTTCGGGTCGGGTCGCTAAACCATGATCGGGGCTCGCGTTTCCACTGCCAACAGTACCCTACTTGATAGGCGTGGTCATGCTACCCATTTATTTCATACTGGTAGGACAATCTGATGAGGTATTTTGCACTGTAAAATCATCCTACCCGTTTATTTCATACTGGTAGGACAATCTGATGAGGAATTTAGCACTGTAAAATCATCCTACCCATTTCTTTCATACTGGTAGGACAATCTGATGAGGAATTTAGCACTGTAAAATCATCCTACCCATTTCTTTCATACTGGTAGGACAATCTGATGAGGAATTTAGCACTGTAAAATCATCCTACCCATTTCTTTCATACTGGTAGGACAATCTGATGAGGTATTTTGCACTGTAAAATCATCCTACCCATTTCTTTCATACTGGTAGGACAATCTGATGAGGTATTTGCACTGTAAAATCATCCTACCCATTTCTTTCATACTGGTAGGACAATCTGATGAGGTATTTGCACTGTAAAATCATCCTACCCGTTTATTTCATACTGGTAGGACAATCTGATGAGGTATTTTGCACCGTAAAATCATCCTACCCGTTTATTTCATAGGACAATCTGATGAGGTAACGTTACTTTGCACTGTAAAATCACCCTACCATGACCAAATAAGAATATGCGGCAAAGTTACACTGAAATATTTTATGTAGTCACAGACGCGAAGCAGAAACACGCAGTAGGATTTTACGATGTGGTAGATATGAACCGTTAGATATGGCTATAATTTTGCGCTACGGTAGGAAAAACTGACAAGGTAGGACAGATCGACAGAACACCGGAAAGTAGTGATAACGTCACTTGATAGGCGTGGTGTTTGCCGGAGAGAAGCGATCGACGTCATTTTCGCGCGAACAAAAGCGACATAGTAAACAACAATTGATGACAGACAGCAGATCTTGTTCTTGCTTCTCGGGATGTTTGTCACAAGAAACAAGCGCTGGCATTAGGCGTTTCTCAATACCAAGTAGCCACGCAAAGTCCGACTCAGGAGAATGATCCCGAGGACGCGAGTCCAGTAATTGTGCTAATGGAACAGCGCGTTCTTGAATGCGCCACTCAGCTCGCTCTGCTACTCCGATTATGTACATTTTAGGCAACAATAAAACGAAGTATGTTATAAAACACCACTTTGCTTCTTTACGATTTAATTTAAATACATTTTAAACATTATAAGCACACAAATGTGGTTCAGGCAACGCATAGCCATATGGCTATGCGTTGCCTGAACCACATTTGTGTGCTTATAATGTTTAAAATGTATTTAAATTATATTCACTACATGTAACGTTATATTTATAACAAAACTAAATATAAAACACAATCCTGCCTCTTTTCGTTTAAATTTAAAAATATTAAACATATTCCAGGCAATGTATTGCATATTGCATTGGTACAAATGTTGCAATAAACAACATTACAGATGATCTTGTAATAAAATAAAATAAATGACAAAACTATCTATTTTTGTTGAATTTCAGTTTTATCAATAATAGCCATTATAAAAGTATAAGTAAAAGGTACAAAAATATATACAGTAAAGCTTTAATAACAAAGCAAACAATTCAGTCAAATATACAAATTCAGCGCTCAAATAGCCTATATGAAACTTCACTTAGCCTTCTGCCAAAACTATTGGCCAGGGAACGAATTATAGATTCACGAGACCAAAGATCGCCTGTTAGGTCTGTACAAGACGAATTATATATCATGTTTAACCACTACAGAGACGTCAGAGTCAGCGGCAAACATCAGAACGGCTAGCCGGGGAAAGGCTGCTCCAGGCGCGGTACTTGAGCGCCGAGCACCCGGTGATTGCTTGGAATGGATCTTCAAATGATCATAAATCTATAAATAAACCACAGATTTGAGCTTTAAAAAACTACTTTCTCGCCTGAAAAACTCTTAAAACTACATTTCGTGACACAATAACAGTAGTATTATATTTTAACTGTATGCTTTTAATGCCCTTGTAGCACGCGCAAGTGACGATCCTCTCTCAACCAATCAGCGTTCTGCAGTGAGTCTAGCTCCACCTTTTAGTACCGTACCACTGTGCTAGGTACCCCAACGGAAGGGTACCCAAAAAGTGGTACGGTACGGTTCGGCTTTTTGGTACCATTCACAACTTTTGACAGTGGAAACGCAAATAATTGCGTACCGAACCGAACTGTACCGTACCGTACCGCTCAGTGGAAACGAGGCATTAGCTTTCAGCAGTGTACAAATGGGAGTAAAAGTCAACAGCAATTCTTCACATCTCCAGTGGCTCTGATGTGACATCTCCATTATTGTCCTTCAATAAAATCATTTGTTTCTGCTGTCCCACTTTACGCTCTAAGTTAAAAAAATAAGAAGTGGGAGCGTCCATGTCCTTCAAATGTAAATAGCGGCTTCTTATAAGAGCTCCTTTAACTTTTTTTTATCCAGTATTGAACTTAGAGAATTTTTCTTTTCAGTCCACAAGTCTTTTAAATTAGCATCATCATTAACAGTCATATTTGTTTCAATATCAGCAATTTCCGCTTCCAGCTGTTTTAATGTATTTTTCAACCTTACAGAGGAGTATGCAGTATATTTTTGAGAGAAATCTCTTATATAGGCTTTGCCAACCTCCCACCACTGAATAATATTTTCAAAATTACTCTGTTCTATTTGCCATTTCTCCCAAAAAAACCCTCAAAATCTTCACAAAAACACTTATCTTCTAATAGTTTAGTATTCAGATGCCAATAATAGCTCTTATGTACACTTTTAGACAAGGTAAACCCAACTGTAAATATAGCTGCGAGCAGCGATTACGGGCCCAAGCCGGTGGCACCGCAACCCCGGTGCCTTTAGTTACCTAAAGGCACCGGGGTGGCGGTACCACCAGCTTTGGCCCTTCATCGCTGCTCGCAGCTATATTTATATATATATGAAGAGTTTCGTTGCAAAATGAGATATATCCATTTTGAGAAATGTTGGTTATTTTACATTTTATTTAAGACATCAACAGTCAAGTTCATTCACAATTTTTTGTACTTTAAACTATTACTTGAGCTCAGTGAAGGCCAGGGACACAATATTCTTCAAATCCAGGATATTTTTTATTTAATTTTATGTCCATAAATAGTTCATAAATAAGTCAAAAACCATGCCAAAATGCAACATATTTATCTTAACATTGTCAAACATCTTAAATTGGTTAAAAAAACAAAACATCATAAATATATAGAATAGTATATACAAAGATTGATTAATAATAATAAGATTCTGAGTTAGTTTTGGCCAGAACATACACAACATAACAACTTTTTTTTTTTTTTTTTGCAAAACGCTATATATCCACCTTAGGCTATATTCTACTACTGTAATACCATTAAGAAAAGCTAGTGAATCAATGGTGTGTGTGTGTGTGTGTGTGTGTGTGTGTGTGTGTGTGTGTGTGTGTGTGTGTGTGTGTGTGTGTGTGTGTGTTTTCTTGAGTGTCACATGGGCTTCAGATGCCAGTGTGTGCCTTTTAGTCTACTCTTCCCCCCTGTGGACATCACTGGTCACAGCCAAAGCGTGATTGTAGAAGGCCTCGACGTTTGCTGGGGCACCAATGGCTTTAAGCAGGCTGATGATGTCCTTCTTCTTCACAGCCTTCACTGTGGTCATCATGGGCAGGGGATCTGCTTTATACTGGCCCCAGTTGTTGCCTCTCTTCAGGAGAGTGTGCTGGTAGGTGGGACCGCTGAAGGTGGTTCTCACCCCCAACCCTTTGCCATCGATCTCCAGCACCCGGGCTTCGCTGATCTTGTAAGACCGCGTGGACTGCATGAGAGCCTTGGCTGCAGCTTTGTGGTCAAAGCTCTCCCAGTCCTTCCCGTACACATACACAGAGCCATGCTTCTTCAGGATGTTGGTGTATTTGTCTGGCAGGAGGATGGTGTCCTGCTTACGAATATCCTGCTCAATTCTTCCAAAAACTCTGTCAACAGGGAGAAAACTATGGCCACGGACAGGGAAGAAGCACTCGATTTTCACATCTTTAAAGATAGTGCTTCGTAGGCTGGACAGCATTCCCACCATTGTACTGTTCTTGTTCTGTCCATAGCAGGAATCGCTGAAGAGCCTCAAATGGCCAGCCTGTTGGACATCTTCGGCTAGACTGGTTCTCAGGCAGTGGTCCAAGGCAGAGGCTGTCATGTTGCTGTCTTTTCTATTTTGATTTTCAAGCCACACGTAGAGATGACGGTCACTCAGTGCCTGCAGACTCCTCTCTCCATGGTGGACCACAACACCAAACAGATACATGTAAAGCTGCCTAGAGTAGTAGGTCTGGCCAATGGGAGACTTGGGCAGAGAGAGGTTCTGCATCATGTCAAAGCAGACAGTAACTGTGTCCTCCACTGCATTTAGCAATGTGTAGAACACCCGGGCTCTGCGTCGGTGGAGCATGACAGACACGATCTCTGCCTTCCTCTCTTCCTCAGTAAGGTGAGGATCTTTCATACGGAGTCTCGAGCTCATACAGGTGGCACAGCAGTCCTTTGCTGGATGCCCAAATCCCAAGTTGAATGAGGTGCAGAAAACATTGTAATACAGGGAGTAGCTGATGTCCCTGTGGTTCTGCTCCTGGAACAGCTGGTGCATTTTGGTTACTGACATGTCACTTGGGAGGTACTTCCGTCCAGGTGCACCATGACGAGCGTAGTGGCTGGCCTTGCACATGAATGAGGACACATGCTGAACTACTGCCTGTCTGTTCTCCATCTTCTCATCAACATTTCTGGTTCCACCCCTGCACTCTGGTCTGGCTTCACCATGTTGACTAAAGTATTTCACCACTCTGGAGACTCTGTCTTTACTAACACCTGTGGAGTAGAAAAGGTATTAATAAGGTTGTCTGTGTTTTTTTCTGGAACCTGAAAATCATAAATTAATTGAATAAAAGGCTACACCTCTGGCTTCTACCCAAGATTGAACAGGCCATCTTATGTTTATAGCACCTGGGTTAAGGATAGGCATTTGAAGAAATCTTTTGGATCATCAGTGGGAAAATTAACAATAATTTATCAATTAATCGTAAATATTCATAATATTCAAAAACATAATGCCATAATAAACATAATGTGACTATGGCGTGTGCCAGTAATCCAGGGCAGTCCCTGAATGAAAAGGTCGGAAAACAACGTGCGGACGTCTGTGTGCTTGTGCTTCACATAGGGACAGTGGGCATTAAAAAAAAAAAAAAAAAAAAATACCGTTGCGCTGCCTGGCTAGCTGAGCTGTCAGAGCAAACAAACTGCAGGATGTTTATCGTTTCAACCATCCTTAAACAGCTTCGGACTATTTGTGATTAGTTACAATTTAGATAAGTAAGATTAAGTTAGTTAGATAAACGGCTTGTAGCTTGTTACAGAAAGAGTGGAGGCTCCTTCCACACCGATGCTGAAAACCAAACCTGTAGGCCTATGATCAGAGCGGGCGGAGCCGCGGTGTCACAGTTCTTGTCTCTGTTGCACCGAGTCCGCGACACAAGCTCGCCTCGCCCCGTCATATTTAATTAATTATTTAACTGTAATAATAATAATAATAATAGCTTATAGAGTTGATTGGTTGTTGTGAAAAAACAAAACAGTTTATTTTTCTCCATAGCAACCTGTGCCCTCTATGATCTCTTATAATAAATCAACAACAACAAGAATTAACGTGAGGTTTTAGGCTATAAATAATAGGTGCAACCGCATAAATAAATCTTCAGATAGGCTACTCAGCTACATGTAAGAAATTATTTAAAAAATAAACTTACCAAGGACACTTAGAAATGTAGCCTTGCAGACAGGTATCTTGTGATGGGGAGGAGCGCAGGACAAAAGGCAGTATTTCACTGTCCCTGGCTTTCTTCTTGCCGTCAGCGGAGACTCGTTCCCTGCTGCATTTGTTTATTGTTGACAGACGCAGGAGTATTTTATCCTGGTCCACTTTTGTAGCGTTTTTATACATTTTTGTGAAGTTGAAGGCTACATCTTCATCTGACAGTTTGTCGGCATGACACAGACCATTACTCGCAGTCGCACGATGACCACAATTAATCTTTGGATGTTTTCCCTCCCCTGAATGCCTTGCCCGTTTGGTCTTCTCCCTTTGATGATTTTCTTTAGATGCCTTCCTCTTTCTCCCAACAGCAGCTGGAATGACCGGCTCCAATCCGTCATCGAAATCCATAACGTTAGCTTGACTCTGAAGCTTTGATTCTCTGACTGACAGACAGCTGTTGATCAGTGACGTAACCTACGTGACTGACAGCTCGCCTACAGTATAAACAATTAAATGGTAAACGTTTTTTAGTTAGCCTATTGAATCCTCTTTTTAAAAATATGTTTTTTGTTTTGATATCGTTAAATCACTGAGCAAACTCGGAGCACTTCACCGCCGGTGACTCTCTCCTCGCGTGACATCCTGAGCTCGCCGGTCATATAACCGTTATCGCACTTTGTAAAGAAACTGGGCTGGCGGATATCGCGTTTTGTGAAAAAATAAATTTTGTAGTAGGCTTAAAGTGTACATTTTTAAATCTTATTAATGGCAGCAATTCACACATAGATTAAGGTACATCTGAACAGTGATTTCCAATAATAAAATCCAAATGTCAAAAAATGGCGTTTATCGCGTTTTGCAACCAAACTCTTCATATATATATAAACAAGCCGGTGGCACCGCCACCCCGGTGCCTTTAGGGTTACTGTGCATGATGGGCAATAACGTAACCCCGCTTTGACCTTTGAGAAGATGTGTGCTGTAGAGCTTGCATTGGTGTGGGCTCTGCAAAAGTGTGCATTGAGGGCACATATCAACCACAAAGTATGCGTGAGCAACCTTCTGAAACCTAAAATGAAAAATGAGACACCCTACGGTCTCATGGACTTAATGCACACATGAAATAAGTACACAAGTTTGAAAGTTATATGAAGTGTGCCAAGACAGAATATTACTTGCCTGATCTGATTAGAAAAATAGTTGTGTGTGTGTGTGTGTGTGTGTGTGTGTGTGTGTGTGTGTGTGTGTGTGTGTGTGTGTGTGTGTGTGTGTGTGTGTGTGTGTGTGTGTGTGTGTGTGTGTGTGTGAGGCGTGATTGAACAATGTAGACATAAAAACATACCCCGTCCTTTTGTTCATACAGGACATTATTCAAACTGCAAAGTGTTTACTTATATTTGTGTACAATCACAATAAAACACAACATTGTGCTTTTGTCAAACTGTAAACTACAACTGTCACCCAACCGAAATCTCTTACACACACACACACACACACACACACACACACACACACACACACACACACACACACACACACACACACACACACACACACACACACACACACACACACACACACACACACACACATAGTTTAAAAGCAAAAAAAATCTTTTGGACATTCATCATATTGCATTGGTTTTCATTTATTGTCCTCGATCAGAGCCCTAATCTGTTTATTTTTTCAGTTACACATTCTACATTGATTAAAAAAGAAAAATCAAATGTGTTTTTATTTTATACATAAATAAATAATCTATCATTCAGATGAGAATAAAGTTAGTGTTAGTTCAAATTTTAAGGAAAACAAATATATGATCTGAAATATAGCACATTCATTTATAATTCATTCAGGTTCAATTACCAAACATACAAATCTCAATGTAATTTAAAGCAAACAATACATTTAAAATACATGGGTTGTATGCTATTTTTTTTATATATATAAAGATATATATCCAAAAAGACAAGGCCTAAACTTTAACAAGGGTTAAACAATCACTGTAACAGACACAATCACACACACAATCACACACACACACACACACACACACACACGTCAAATCACTTACATTTTAGATGCAATATTGACTTTTTTTTCTGTTTCAGCAGCGAAAATAGTTAAACAAAGATCACAGGAGAACCATCGAGCATCTCACAGCAACGCGTTCTCATTACTGATTCAGCATTTTGAACGAATCGGTTGACTCAAAGATTCAACGACCAATCCATAATCTGTCTCATTCATGAATGACTCAGCCGTTCGAACGAATCGTTTGAACGAATGAATCAATGACTCGCTCATTAAGACGGTCGCCTAGCGACACCTAATGACGGTTTAGTGATATTAAAAGTATCATTCTTTCCAACGATTGTTAATTAACTCATATTTGAAACATAAGCTATATATATATATATATATATATACACACATATATATACACACACATATATATACACAAAAATAAAATAAAAACACATTTGAAGCGTGTTTGCTTACTAAATTGTGAGCGGAACGAAAGTTGCAGCAAATATCAGCAACAGGAGTCAAATTTCATTAATCACGAGAGTGAAGAGCTGACTGAAAAGATGATGACGGAATAGGCTATGTTATGTAAAAGCCCCTATTTAAGCGAATCTATCATTGTACTCTTTTGTTGTTGTGTTTTCCGTGAAAAATAATAGACTATTGAACTCACAATTCAAGCAATCGGCCCCGTTATTGCACTAATTTTAAAGTGACACTAAAAAGTATGCGGCTGCACTGGCATTCATAATGGTGCGCGTCCATGGCGACGAGCGAGCAGAACAGAGCGAACGTTTTTTAGTTCATTCCTACTTCCATAGGAATTCCCTCAAGCGCTCTGCAAGCGCAACCCTTATCAATGTCCGTGTGGACGTCCGTATTTAAAAGCTCTCGGTCCTCAGTCACATGCTTGCCAAATATATGTATAAATATCATTTTGGACACAAGAGGGCAGTATGGCCCTATGTATAATTTTGTATAATAACTTTTAATCGAAGAGCCCCTCCCCACACAGACACACACACACACACACACAGTTCGCCCGCGCCTCTCTCTCACACGCACACACACACACACACACACACACACACACTCCAGCATTGCAATCTTGAGATCGCAGCTTGTTCATTATGCTGCGTTCACACCAAACTTTTATACTCTTTTGTTGTTGTGGTTTCCATGAAGAATAATAGGTTATTGAACTCACAATTCAAGCAATCGGCCCCAGAAAAGGCGCTAATTTTAAAATGAAACTAACGGCTGCACGGGCATTCATAACGGTGCGCGTCCACGGCGATGAGCGAGCAGAACTTCCATAGGAATTCCCTCGAGCGCTCTGCACGTGGCCATTATCAATGTCCCGTATTTAAAAGCTCTCGGTCCTCAGTCACATACCAAATATATGTATAATGTATATATAAATATAATTTTGGACACAAGAGGGCAGTATGGCCCTATGTATAATTTTGTGTTTAAACTAAAAGAGCCCCTCCCCCCCCTCCCCACACAGACACACACGAATGGCAGGGTGCATTCTCTCTGTCAGAGGGAGAGGGAGAGAAAATTCTCAGAAACATCCACATTCAAACCAAAATATCTGACTTCCTCTTGGTCTGAGCTAATGACAGTTAATTAGAAAGTTGTCCGGCTTGATCTGAACCATATGCATACCTGTGTCTGTCGAGTTTCATGCAATTTCAAGCATGCTAAGAGTCTCAAAAGCATCAAACAAGAATATTAAAGTTTGATGTGTTGCCACGGCAACAGTATCTAAGATATCAATAATCCTTTCACAGGTCTACATCTGCCGTGTGTTTACATTATACACATAAAGTTTGAAGCAAATCGGGTAAAAATAAGAGGGTGATTTCAAAGCATTTAGGAAGTGACACACTTCCTGCTGCCAGTTGGTGGCGCTATAACTTTGACTCACAATAGTCACATCCATGTGATCGGGCTCTTACAACGAACACACTGTTGAAGTTTCATCAAGATCAGTTAATGTATGCAGTAGTTATGACACACTTCCTGTTTCACGTTTCTCGCCATAATTTTGTTTCCTCGCCACGGCCAAACCGTTCGAGATATCAAAAATCCCCTCGCAAACTTTCATCCTCGTGAAGTATATATGAAACGAGGAGATCTACATGTGTACCGAGTTTCATATTATTACATGCAAGCGTGTTTGATTTATGGACCATGTTTTCGGACCCCGTTCCAGGGGGCGCTGTCGAGCCCCCCTGCCACGCCCGGGTACCATCTTCAGCCCGGCCCTGATGGCCGCGGGTTCTGACATGTGTGCAAAGTTTCAGGAGTTTTTGAGCATGTTAAGGCCTCCAAAAGTGTCCAAAAGGTAGTAAAAAAATAATAAGAAGAATAATAAATAATCCTAAGGAAAACAATAGGGCCTTCGCCCTTTGGGCTTGGGCCCTAACAAGCTTGTGATCAGAAAGACTACAAGGGATCATTTCTGTGTTAACAACTCTATTTTTCAGGTTAGAAGATATATAAAAACGGTCCAAACGTGCAGCATAAATCCTCCCATTATTCACTTTCACCCCAAATAACTGACATAATATAGATATAGATTTTGCGGTAACACTTTACTTGAAGGGGTGTGCATAAGACTAACATGACACCTTCATAATCATGACATGACACATGTTATGAATATGAAGGAAGTTCTATGCATGTTTATGACAACTGTCATTAAGTGTCATTCGCTCAGTTGTGACATTTTTAATGCAAATATGACATTGTTTGAGATGTCTTTGTTATGACACCTTGACATAAACCAATACATCATAACCTGTCAGTGTCTTTGTCATGACAACTTGACATTACTAAGACAACACAACCTGTCATAAACATGACATAGCAGATTAATTATCAAACTTAAGAAACCACTTAGCTTTACTGGTTAAAATTACATTAAACTGTCATGTGGTTGGTTTTGACACTGGCTGTCATGAGGCCATTATAACTGTTTAATGACAAAATTGTCATAATTGAGCGAATGACACTTAATGACAGTTGTCA